GTTATTAACTCAAATGTGTTGGGACGGGCACAGAACTCCCTGTTCACTGGCTCAATCTGACGATTAGTGCAGTTAGCCAAGTTTATCCGGCCCAAAGGATGCTGAAAGTGACATTAACTTGGTCAATATTGCAATCAAGATTTTGCACAGTATATGCTTTCATATTTTTCAATATACTAAGGGAATAATAATCAAAAAATCATTCATTCAAAAACCATTCATTATACTTCCCACCTTTACAAGAACTATGTCTGCAGTATCCTGCTTCAGCCAATGGAATACATCCTGCTTTGCCACTCACAATATAGCTAACAAATCCATTCCTTCCCAGAGAATTACACTTAGACCTGTATGTACATACTCCCCCCCTCCTCCTCTCTATTTTCAAGAAAAAAAAAAGGGGGGGGGGGGGGAACTGTGTTTTAAGCTCTTAAATCTGAGAGAATTCAACTGATAGAGCAAATCCTGTCAAAATCTACAGAAACCAAACCCTCCAGTGATGTTTGCTTCATTCTTGAATAAGTGTATAAGCAGAGATTCATCTTTGAGGATGCAGCTAAAGGCACCTAAGTTCAGAGTCCACCTGCTCTAGCTCCCTCTATAGTCAACAGCTCAACTCCTTCACAGAGCATTTCAAATCAAGGCAGTTTTCTCTTTCTACTATCTAGGGAGCCTCAGGTGTATGCCTAAAGTTAGTTACAGACCTTGGATCTGATTCATCACACCTACAGAATGGCTCGTCAGGGAAGCATCACTAGCAGCTCTTAGCTTGGAAAAAAGCTTGCTATTTACTGTGCCTGTGCTATTTCAGATAGATTTTTCTTTTTTCCTGCAGCCTTGGTTATATCAACTATCTGTGGAATAGATATAAAACTGCTTCAACAAACATTAGATTAATCAAGAAAATGGTTGCAAGTTGGCCTATTGGTGCAATCATGGGAAATAAACTGGGAAACAACCCAAAGCTTCTTTCCTATAGACAGAAACAGGATAGGAAACCCTCGTCCAACTCGATTTGCTTGCCTATCGTTTATTACAGAAGACAGAATTTTCCTCTCTCCTGGCAAGGAGAGAAAGTACAGCAATACATTTTGGCTAGTGTCAGCCTCCAGCATATGGTCTTCATCTGTTAGCAGGGAAGAAACTAGATTCAGGCATGAGGATAGGCATAGAAGACCCAAAAGGACCAGAGTTTGCCACAGAGTTTGGGAAAGAGTTCTGCCAATAAACAAGAAAGCCTTAAATGGTAAATTGCTTAAGCAGTCCTTAATAGGAGCTGAAAATATGTTGGTACATATTGCAGGAAGACACTTTGAAGACAAGAAGTTCACATGAGTGACAGATGAATCTTTCCGATTTGATTCATTAGCCACTCCAGTTTTAGCTATGCAGGGAAATGTAAGAAAACAGTGAATGCAAATATGATAGACTTTAAGCACAACCGTGCTTCTACAATATAGAAGGATTGCCCACTAATTCTTATTAGAAATGTTTAAATTTATTATTTTGTCTAAAACCTAAGGCAACTGTATGTAAGTCTGCTTATTACAAATGTTTGGATCTATTTAAGCTAAATAATCACTAAAGCAGTCATTTGACAAGTGTAATGGAAAGCCTTAATCCAAATGGAAAATTTCCAGTTTCACTCTTCCCCATCAGATCAAATAGTTGGTTTCTGAATTTGCCTTGATTTAGGTCACCTTTATGACCACAAGTCTCTCCTATCACCCAAATAATCTTTGCGAGGTTGAATCTCATGCTTTAAATACACTTCCCAGCTTTATTCCAAAGTGTTACTATCATGAAAAATGAATGGTTAGTTTAATGAAGTACTACAGAACTTCCCTCACCCTTCAAGTAGGAGCACACACAGATACCATCTCTTTCCCCCCATTTAGTCATGAGCCTCATAAACAGCACTACCTTCCGTTTTTCATCATCTGGGTACGTCCAGTAAGATATACAGTTTCCAGAGAGTGCACACCAGCGCCTATGCCATGCTCCAAATCCGCTCACATCTTCAAACATAGTCTGAAGAGATACAATGGAATAACTTTACGCTTTGAGTTTGGTTCCTGCTGCCGTTTTCCTATCAAGATGGTTCAGCTGGTATAACCCTTAGTGGCAGTAAACTTGAAGAAAAAATACATACTGAGATAGAGTTCTGTTAATATAGCATATATATTTTCCAGATAGCTTAGAAAATGAGTTTATAGTCTCTACCTCAAGTTTATGGCCTTATGCTCAAAATGCACCTTTTCCTGACATTTTAAATGGAGATTTTAGTATTGACAATGATGGACCCTCCCAATTATTTTAGAATATGAGATGGGTTACTTTTATCAGATACTAACTAAATAAAGATAAAAAAAACATTTCTTCATATAAAAACCACAAGTCGTCATAATTGGATACTTTAGTCTCCTTTGTCTTGCAAATCAGGAATTCAAATGCAGTGTTTTGGGCTATTCTGTAAGCCACATTAAAAAAAACTTAAAGTAGCTGATTTGTAATATTTATATTGGCAATTTATTTTATTTGATGCAAGCCCAGGAGATTGCTAGGAACGTTTCCTTAATATTGGAATGAAAAGTTTACTATCTATACTACCCTGATCCCTCTCGACCTCGTACAGAGCATTTTCTACTTAGTCTTTCTGTACTGCAGTTTCCACTCTTTGCTGTTCAGATCACATTTTAAGAGTGTAGAGCGTTTCCAATCCCTCACTCAGGAAAAGAAAACACACCTGC